TAACTTAGTGTTAACTCCTGACTGCCAAATTCTCATTGTTTATAACTACAAATGTGATGGAATTGTCTGTCTGTATACTTACATATAAATATACTTAAATATAAATATATAAATATACTTAAATATACAATATATAAATATACTTAAATTTACTTAAATATACAATAAATATACTTATTTATTTGTCTTCAATGTGAACTGTAATGATTGTTGAACCCTATGGACATAGCCAGATTTTAGGGAGAAATGGGTGAGGGGAAGAAGTTCCAAACGGGAGTGGTCAAAGAGGAGAGGAATTTTAAGACAATATGGTGTCCAAAAAGGAGATGTAAAGTACATTTCAAGTAACTGTTGTTCACAACAGCTGAATGTATGAAAGCATCAGGGATGTCTTTTAAGAAAGATAGCATTACCAAAGTGTTCTAAATTTTCTTTGCTGTGATGATATACCCATTTCTAGTATGCTTACTACCCACTATACCAGATCCAAATCAGTTTTTATTCTATAAAATTCATATATGTTTTAGTTTTAACATCTTAATATTGTCATGACTTTTAGATATATTTTCATGTCACTTATTAATATTCTGCATATTAGAAAATTAATGTATATTATGAACATAAATATAGAGTGAGTTTGTTCTATTTGCATTTATTATACTCATATTTATATTATCTTCATCCTTTGATAAGTTTCTCCATGGAGTCTTTGTTTGTATGTATTTGCTTTATTATTATGGACTATTTTGCTCATCAAAATGTGCATTTATATGCCTTTCAGTATTGTTCTGTGATTTACTAAAATCCCTATAAATAGACATAATATGACTTTTAGTGTCTTCACAGTGGATATAAAATAAAGAAAAATCTAGAAATTATTTTTATTCACCTAAACTACCTAATTCCTGATAATGTTATCATAACAAATTTTAAAATTCATTTTATAAATAAAGTCATTGTACAACCAAAGGAAAGTTTACATCCTACTCTTATATAAAATTCAGTTTTAGTTAATTCCTATCATATCCTTTTTCTCATTAACTATTTAGTAAGAGTATTCACATATTCCCAGTGATGGTGATGAAATACCTCTAGGGAAATTGTGTTTTACTAAAAATTGCTGCACTATAATATTGCCAGAAATAAATCACAAGAAGAATATACTAACATCCTTTTGAGAAAGTCATTGGACAATTTTGCTGATCGAATTAAGTCACATTAGAGTCATGACATGGAAATCAGTTGGCCCAGGAACTGCTTATGTCGAAAAGGAAAATATTTTAAGAACAAATATATTATTATGGTGTTTTCACACATACAGGATATCAAAACTGAACTTGACGGATCTTCTTTGCACTGTTTGTACTACAAAAATTACATCCACATTTGTACTGCTGAAAATGTTCTCCAATTCTCTTAGAGGAAGATTTGCCACCTACTGAAGTCTCAGTAACTAAACCACATGAACACATTCCAGAGGAAATGACACCACTTTTCTTCTTTTTTTTTTTTTTTCTTTTTCACATTTCAGGGTCCTGACAACTGTACAAAGTGCTCCCATTTTAAAGATGGCCCAAACTGTGTGGAAAAATGTCCAGATGGCTTACAGGGGGCAAACAGTTTCATTTTCAAGTATGCTGATCCAGATCGGGAGTGCCATCCATGCCATCCAAACTGCACCCAAGGGTAAGCATCCTGGCTGGCCAAGGGCTCACCTGGTATGTGTTATCCACATGTACCTTTATCCCTGGTACCATCTCTGAAATGTAAACCATTCTCATAGAACTCTACTAATCCTTATATTTGAAATGCTGATTTTAAGAGAAATACTAAGAGAATGATTTAAGGAGTCAAGTTTGTACACTCTTAAATATTTGTGCTTAGCTTTTACCTGTAACCATTCTATTAACACTTTCATGAAACTAGTGTTGGGTATACTTTGGATGCAGTTTAGAAATTCTTGCAGATTACATTGGAGATTCAAGATCTCACAAAAGATATGACAATCATCATGCTTTTGAGGTTTGTGTTTATCAACTCTTTAACAGAAATTTTCTATTTCTGTTTCTTTGTTGTCACAATAAGCTTAAGGTGAGGATATTTCTCTTTGATAAATGCTACCTTAAATTACTCCTTCAAAAAAATATGAACAAAGGTAACAATGGCAGGGAAAAAGGGAACCTAGTGATATATGTATTTAAAAAAATAACGAGTACATTTTGTGAAAGTAACCTTGTTACAGGTAATCCTTTAGCCTTGAATTTCTTCGACTGATATAGGGCAATCTGAAGCTCGGTAAAATTTTTTTCCTGTTTTTCAAAAGAATACATTGTGCAATGAATAATAATTAGATTACCTTTGATATTGATAACAGTTGAATAACAAAGACACATTACAGAAAGAAGAAAAGCACTGAACTGTAAAAGAAATAATGTCATTCATTTAACAAATTCCAACAACTATTTCTTAAGAGATAACAAATCTATTTTAGTAAGGATTTTTCCTTTTCATTCCTCTGGAAGGTGAATAATTTGTAATTGAAAGCAGTGTTACATTTGCCATCCTCCTACTGACCATAAAGCCTTTTCTCCGTTGTGAATGCCCATAGGTGGGTGCACATACACATATAAACACACACACACAGAGACACACACACACATACACACACATTTGTAGTTGAGAATCAGCTTGGGTGCTTTATATCTGGCAGGAAAGTGTGAGATTCCATAAAGAGATGTTCTGCCAGATTAAGGGATAGCTGTTAGGGGATACTGAAGAAGTTAAGCAAGCGACATCATTTCCTGCCAAGAAAACATCAATTTGCAGATGTTGCTACAATTTCCTGCAGGTCAAGAAATAAGCTGAACTCACTCTGTGAAGTGGCAGATCCTCAAAAGGTAAAGTAATATTCTGCCATTCAAATTCAAATTCAGCTTCGAAGTGGTAATTGCCAACTCATTGATTCACACATAAGCACGTATACGTTTAGGGTGCTGAAATAGTCACATAGACACTTTGCTTCAAAGGAAACTAGAGGTAATAAACTGCTCCCCTTGTGAGTTTTTGGCACACTTGAGTTAAGAGTATTTCACAAAAAAACAACTGGTTCTGCTGGAGCAGAAGAAAGAGTCAGCAACAGAAAGAGAAAACTTGCCTGCTAAAATAATCCACAAGAGAATTTTATTGTTTTGCAGCTAAAATTAAACCAGTAAATTATTCAATATAATGTTGATGTCAACAGCTGTTGCCATTCAAAATGAGACCTTTTGCTGTTTTTGCAAATCTAATTACAACGAGGCCATTAGGGAAATGTAAGTGAGATCACAGAGCCATAGTCTGGATGCATGGCTGGTGTGTCTTTCACTCTGCCCTTTTAAATCATTATTATATAATAATAATAATAAACATATATAGTAGGAGGAAGTAGAAATATGAGGCAATGAAAAGAGATTCGTTTATGGTAGCAACAAAATCTCCATCTCAGTCAAAAGGAAGGATGAAAGTGTAATGGGGGGAAATCTCACCAGAGCATTTGGAAACTCCAAGTGAACAGAAAAAAAAGATGCCTTTAGCAATTTTCAGCTGCAGGATTAAGTTGAGACAGAATTTGAATATTGTGCTCCCTGGCGTCTTCCAAGGTAAATGCGTTCTCTAATGACTGACTTAATCCTAAAGGATTTTTGTTCCTGTTTTCATTTAGCTTTCTGCCATCCTGTTTTTAAAATACCTTCTATATTATCCAGATTCACTCACTTCATAAAAATGCTGTGGTTCTAGTCCTAGAGTATTCTAGTGCCAGGAATTCCGGAAGGATGTGATTCTTAAATTCCTAAATCTTCAGGTATACTCTATTTCAGTAGAACAGTGTGCTTTGAGATCTTTTACTGAAGCAATAAGGTGTTCTGTGCAGTCAGTCCCTTCTTTCCAAATTGAGCATATAGAGATAAGATATTTTCCTAGGAAAACCACAGGGGCAATGAGGATGATAGAGCAAGTGACTATTTTTATTCCTAAACACAGGTAATAATCGACCTATTAGTAAGTGTGAGCTCACCAGGCCAGTTCCACTTTGGAAAACAGCTTTTCTTTTATATGCCTATATGATGTCGGATAATTCAAGAACCAGGTTAATGAAAATATTCTTTCAAATCACATTTTTTAGAAGTAAAGTTCTTACTTTGAATACTGTTTAATGATTTTTCTGAAAATAAGTTATCTGTGTCAAATTTTAAAAGCACTTTTACCACTCTAAAAGTACATTAAATATAATGGCTCTAACAAGTTCTCTAGACACTTTCAAAATAGGTCATCTATTTAGCCCTTATAAGTAGATTCTCACTAATATCCATGGAAACAAGATTGTCTCTTCTTACCTTGACTAGAGAATTTTTATTTTAACAGCCTTTTCTTAGTTTATTCACTCTTCAACTTTGTTATATTGGGTATCTGCTCTGCATCACACACAGTGATAGGAAAATTCAGAAATGAACAAGATGCAGCTTTTGACCTCTGTGAACTCACAGTCCAGTAAATATATATTCTTTAATTTACATCCTCTGTTAGAGACCAGACCTTTCTCCACAGTATTTTGTAATGATGAGCAAGAATTTAAACCTTACGAATGATGTTCAGATTTGAAATTAGAAAGATAGAATATTTTTTAAAGATTTGTAAACTAAACTAATGTAATTAAATTGTGGTGAGTGCAAGAATAATTGTTTCCTCACTAATATCATTTGAGTATGTGCTCATTTAACGTCAGTTTAACTTTGGTTTTGCATCAAACCAAACCTGCATTTTAGACTTGGAATGAAATGGTTATTTTATATAATCTTTTAATGGAAAATTTTAAAAATTTCCTTCATTTTTATTTCAAAATGTAAAGATTTTATCAAAATATTGAAACTATGTTGGTTAAATGAGTACATCAAGGAACTTATAAGTCAGTATGTACTAACAAAGGTTAAACAGTTTAATATTCAGAACTTTAGATATGGTTTCGAAATTTGTTAATTAGACATGCTGTGTTTTATTTTTCTGATCTTTCTGTAAGTATTCTACTTTGAAAAGGTATTTTTTAATAATTCTATTATTCTAGATTTTGATTCAGTTATTTATTTGTGATTTTGGCTCTTCAAAAGTTTAGTGTTTCTGTTGTTCTATGATCTTACTGAATGGATGCAGATTGCATGTACTAATTAGTTGCTTACAGAAAATACAAAGGGTTGAAAAATAATATCTATATTTTAGTTTTCAGTGGCTTGTATTTAGAAAGGGTGGTGCCATTTCAGTCATATTCTTATTTTTCTTTGTCTTTCATTTTTTTCTTTCATTCTCAGTTTAAAAATAGGTTTGAATCTCAAATATCCTACACAATCACCTCAGCAACGTTTCTTGACTCTACATCCTGCTCCCTCAGTCCCTTCCCGCTATTTCCCCCGACTCTATTTTTCTATCTCCAATTTGCTTCTCAACAAAAACCTAAATTCTAGTGACCATGACAATGACAAGTAAAATTATCTTAAGAGTTATTTTACCAGACTTCTCTGCATTTCACACTGATGATCACCCCCTGCATTTTAGACTTGGAAAGAAATGGTTATTTTATATAGTCTTTTAATGGAAAATTTTAGAAATTTCCTTCATTTTTATTTCAAAATTTAAAGATTTTATCAAAATATCGAAACTATTTTGGTTAAATGAGTACATCAAGGAACTTATAAGTCATTATGTACTAACAAAGGTTTAAAGTTCTTTTCTGATTTGACTTCCATGAGACTACAGTTAATTGGTTTTACTCAATTATATTTTCCCACGCTTCTGGCACAAAGAACTCATCTTATGTCACACACTGTTGGGGTTCCTTGGGTTTCCATCTTCAGCCTCTGCTTTTCTCACTTTTTATATCTTCTTTAGCCATCTATTCACTTACATGGTTTCCACTTTCTCCTACATGCTATTTCAAGATTGATCATTCTACTCATGCCTTCTTTCCCCCTTAGCCACTCATCTTTCCAACTGCTGATAAACATTTCTATCTAGATGTAGGACAGCCATACTAAACCCTAGATACACATAACTGAAATGATCAACTAGTCATCCCCTAACACATACAGGAAGAAACATATTTGTCTTCTTGGATTCTCTCAATGATGGTACCACTATTAGCAAAGCTAGAAATGTAAGTCTTCTTTAACTCCTTTGATCCTTTCACTTTCATCAAATCAGGAATCAACTGCTCTTTTTTATTCCCTCTATCTTTTGAGGTATTTCTTGAATCTGTTCTTCTGCCTCTATCACAGTTACCATTTCCCTAGTTTAGTCCATCATCTCTTATATGGACTCAAATAGTCTTTGTGCCAAATGAGTCGGCCTGGCTGCCAGCTGACTAGTGTCCACAGGGCAAGGAGATTTATTGAAAATACTAATCTAGCAACTTCACTACTTCTTTAAAGCCCTACAGTGATTTTCTATTGATTGTTACTAAGCAAATATTTCTCAAAATCTGGCTCCCACCTAATGTTCTAACTTCTTTTTTCCCCCTTTCTATTGCCTCATATTTTGCTCTCCAACTACTAAGAATTATTTGTAGTTATTTTGCATATACGATACATTTCTTCAGGTCTGTGCTTTTGCTCCTGCAGAAACCACCGCCACCCCAACCCCAGCTCACATTAAATTTCAGCTTCCTACCTCCCACAAGAGGGTTACCATGCCCTTCTAGGGCGGCTCTAGGTGTCCCCCCTCCACACTACCCTGAACCGCTTTTTCATGTTTCTTACTACATTTATCACATGATTCAATACACAGCTGTTTATGCATCTGTCTCCTTCATTAACCTTCACTGAATTCAGAGATCATTGAGAATAGAAAAATATCGAATTCATCTTTTTTTCTCCCTCTAGCTCCTAGAATGCTAGGAACACTTAGTAGACATGTAACATAGGACTTTTTTAATGAATGAGAATCTTTCATATTCACACTTTTCCCTCAAGTTAAATTTTGGTTTTGGATTTTTTTTTTAATCTTTCAAGGGTTATTATAAAGATGGATTGGAAACTAGCCATAGCTTTTTAGATTCTCACTTGGAACTAATAAGTAGACTTTTAATTTTACAAAATGGTAATATGGTATAAAAATAATTTTCAAGAAGATAGAGCAGGAACGTATAAAAAAACAAGTTCTTTGGAATATAATGAAAAGAAAACTAAGACAAATCGGAAGCTTTTTTAGTAGTTAATTTCCCATTTTTAGAAATGATTTTGACTATAATACCAATTTAATTCTATGTACTCTAGATTTTTCCTTTTTAGTTGCTTTTTAAAAGACTTTTTATACAGGTGTATTCTATTTCTATAGGTTAAAATTTGTGCTACTCCAAACAAAAACAAAAACGAACCAATTTTTCAGCTAGCAGGAATGTTATAACAAATGTTTATGAGGCAAAGAGATGAGATAAGTGACTTAATTGTTATTATAGGTATGTTATATTAGTTCACCAATGTTTAGAGTTATTTAAATATATAATAGATAGAGTGGCCTTATACATAGGCACCTTCTTACATCATTATATGATGATCCTATCTTTAGCTTCTTTTTCAAATTTGAAAATTTAGAGTTTGGAAATACATGTAATCTTTATTACCAATGAAATAAGGCACTTCTATAAATCATAACCATAAAAAGGATATTGATAATGTTCTGGAGCTGTATGTCTTTGAGGGGAGAAAAGGAAAGGAAAAAGAGTTCAGGTGTATTGGAAGATGAAAGAAATAATACTTCTATGTTAGTTCAAAATGAAGTTCTAGGGACTGTACATTAAAATTCTGTGTACTTATGTAATTCCATTTAAATGTTAGTCTCAGTGTATTCTTTACTTATCTGAGTCTCAAAGGTAATTCATTTCCTTACAGAGTATTTCTTTATCTATTATTGTTTGAGTTCATTATTATGGTAGTTTAAAAACCTGTTTTTGTTTGCCTATTATGGCATTGCTACTTTAAAAGAGAGTGTCAAGATAAACTGCAGTATGGTGAAACCAGTTAATTTTCTTTTTAAATAAATTCATGTTTAAAGATAAGTATCTTTTAAAGACAGACACAACCAAGAACCAGAATAATCTGATTATGTAAAGTATCCATGAGAATAGCATTAAAGCATGTTGACTCATTTTCTGCCAAAATCAATCTTTAATGAGCATTGAGCATCAGGTTATTATATTATATTGAATTGCTCATGGTTTTCTTATTGATTTTTTTTATTTAAACTTAAGGCCTTTCGTAAGAAACCATACACATGAAAACAATTATAGTCACTGAAATATCAACTTATTTGTTGAGACATGTAATCATGTATGATGCATATTAGAAGTGATATTAAAGTATTAGAAGTGAGCTGTGTGTTTGGAAGTTATTCACAGAACCAATGTAATATTTCCTTTTACTGTGGGCATTTCTTTGCATTCCACTTGGTTGATAACAGCAATTCATTTATGTGTGTTCATCAAGAAAAAATCTTCTTGCTGGCTTGAAATTCATTGTGTTCCAGAATAGTCTAATAGTTATAAGAATTCAAGATAATCAATATTTGTTTTACTGATTTTTTAAATGACTAATTTTTCTCCCCTTGTATTTTTTTAAATTTGCATTTTCTGCAGGTGCATAGGCTCAAGTATTGAAGACTGCATCGGCCTGATGGATAGGTACTTGGTGTGCTTGCTTCCCATGTTCTTCCTCCAAGGCTCCATGTGTGAGCACTGGTGCATGTGTGTGCATGTCACTGTGGATGGAGAATGATGTTTTCTGTTCTGTAATTGCCTGCAGGTGTAATGGTCCCACTAGTCATGACTGCATTTACTACCCATGGACGGGCCATTCCACTTTACCACAACATGCTAGGTAACATCTACCATGTTTCCATTTTGTCGCTCAAATCCTTTCCTAGTTATAGTGAACAAAATGTACTAACCAGTGGGTTAAATTTTTAATATATTATAACTCATAATATATCTAATTAGAAAGTTTTGAAAGAGGCATAAAACACTTTCCTTCTCAAGCCAACTTTCCAACTTTCTTATCTTTTTCCTTCATTCATTGTGACACAAGAGTCCCAGTTAGTAATACCATCGATTTTTTTTTTTTTTTTTTTTTTTTTTGAGACTGAGTCTCACTCTGTTGCCCAGGCTGGAGTGCAATGGCATTGACTCACTGCAACCTCCGCCTCCCGGGTTCAAGTGATTCTCCTGCCTCAGCCTCCTGAGTAACTGGGATTACAGGTGCCCGTCACCATGCCTGGCTAATTTTTGTATTTTTAGTAGAGATGGGTTTTCACCATGTTGGCCAGGCTGTTCTCGAACTCCTGACCTCAGACAATCTGCCCACCTTGGCCTCCCAAAGTACTGGGATTACAGGCATGAGCCACTGTGCCCAGCCTTGATTTTTAATTCTTGTAGTGCAAACAGCATTTTGAGTTATTAATATATAACTTTAATAGAATATTTTTGCTCTTAATTCAATAGATGATTACAAAAATATTTATAAGGAAGGAATTTGCAAAAGTTGATCTATGCTTGTATTTATTATTTAATTCAATTTCTGATTTTATATTATTTTTGACTGGTTGGCATATTCCTAATTATAAGAATTAACATAAAGACAATACAGAAAATATTTTGTGCAGGTAAAAGTATAACTTGGAATTTAAAAACAAAACATAAGACTCATTTCCACACAAAAACCTATATACTAATGTTTGTAGTGGCTTTTTCATAACCACCAAAAACTGCAAACCACTCAAATGTTCTTCAGTTGTGACATATCTATATATTGTAACACTACTGAGCAATAGAATAGAAAGGAACAAACTGCTGATACACCCAACAACATGGATGGATCTCAAATAGATTGTACTAAGTGAAATAAACCAGACTTAAAAAAATACATACTGTATGATTCCATTCACATGGCATTCTGGAAAAGGTGAAACTATCAGGACAGAAATGTTGCCAAGAGCTGGAGACTGGGGTATAGGTTGACTGGAAAAGGGAAGGAGAGAATTTGAGGAGATAATGGAACTATGCTTCTATCTTGATCATGGTGATGGTTGTACAAAAGCATGTGCTTATCAAAAATTATAGAACTGTACATTTTACTGTATATAAATTATACCTCAATAAATCTGACTTTTAAAATATCTCATAAAACATTTCCTATATGAGAAAATAGTAACTTTACCATCTTATGTAGAGATATTGTTAGATTTGTTTACGAAACAAATTAATTACATCCTTTTGGGAGAGAGAAGGTAGTACTAAAGTTAACAAAATGTGAATTTTGGATGAAGTATTGCCTTTTAATGTAAACCCTTGTATTAAAGTATACATAGTGTAAAAGTACACAAAACATAATTTTAAAGCTCAGTGAATTTCCAAAAATGAAACATTTGTGTAGCCATTAACCAGATCAAGAAACAAGATGACAACAGTGCCCCAGAAGCTACCTTGTACCTCATTCCAAGGGTAGCCCCTGTCCTGAATTCTAACACCATAGTGCAGATTGCCTGGTTTTTCACTTTATGTAAATTTAGCCATACAGTGTGTATTCTATGCATCTGGCTTCTTTTGTGAAATATTATATTTATGAGATTCATCCGTGTCACTGAATTTAGTCATAATTTCTTCATGCATATGTTACTGACTTTACATGTTTTTAAAATAAATACATCATCTTAATATATCATTTTAATGAATAAAAAAATTAAATTCCAAAAAGAAAGTGAAGCATGTGCTAGAGTAAATTGATTTCTACAACAGTGGCTCTGTGACACTTGGGCACAATCAAGACTAGTTAGTATAGTTACTTAGAGCAAAGTAAAATTATGAAAACATTAGAGAGAGGGAGAGAATGCCTAAGATCTAAAGTATAGTTTCATAAACCAAGGTTCATCTTAGATTGTTCCTATATTTGTGAAAGAAATTTTCCTTCTTGAGACCTTGGTAGAGCAACTGCATTATCAGTTTGAACAGTTTTCACATTTGCTTTGATGATTTTCTTATAATTATGTAGTTATTCCAGTGGACTAGTTACGGGTAATATAGTACAGTGGTTAAGTGTTCCATCTTTAGAATCAGATTTTCTGAGTTCAGAGTCAGGCTCTACCATTTTTAGATGTGTGATGGTGGGTAAGTTCCTTAAATTATCTGAGTCTCACTTTCTTTATGCATAAAATGGGAATACTAATACAGTTCATAAATTGTAAGATTGAATGTGTCCTTAGAACAGTGCCTGGCTTAGAAATCACTCAATAAGTATTATTATTTATTATATTTCTATGTATCAAAAGTTCTCAAACCTTGGGGATGAGAGAACATGCTTCCCAGTGTGTATTTCACTGAAAGGAGAGCACTGATTTAAAGAGTCTCTAAAGTCACACGGGGAGCTTTGATGTGTGCCTAAAGCTCTTTTGATGGGCTCCTTGAAGGAAGAGAGAGCATTTCTCTCTCTTCACCTTCAGAATCTCGATTACAATGTTGGCCACTGATACTAACTGTGGTAGGTCATTGGCTGATATGTAGAGGTAGAGAAAAGGTTAAAACCACATTGATAGATCACTTGTTATCCTGAATGCTTGTAATTGAGGTTATTTAACTCAAAATCATAGTGTATCTTGTTTAGATTTAATATTTTCAAAATTTAAACAAAAGCATGATTGGAATTAATCCTCTTGCCTGCTTTGGTTTCCAGAACATATTCAGTCTGAGATTCCAGTAATCTCAGACTAAAACACCTAGTTCAGATTAGCTTTATCACAAATAGGTGACCATGACCAGTCACTGTTTATAGATAATACAGAAAGTACAGCCCATCATATTTAAGAAGAATCACCTGTAGCCCACAATATAGGTAAAAAGCAGGGGTTCTTGAATGTTTAGATTCAAATATTGGCTCTATCATGTTTTTTATCTGTAAAATGGGAAGTGTAATGATCATTTGGAAACTGAGAATTCTTATAACCCTTAAGATTGGTGGGAAGATTACATGAGATAATGCATACAGCTTTAGCCAGCATACAGAGTATATTCATTGGTGGTACTTACTGCTGCAGTTGAAATGTTGGCATAATAATCACTTTGAAAACCTCATAAAGTTAGTAATTTACATATCAACAAGGCATTAATCCAGTAGATTAGTGACTACAGGATTGATATATCAAAATTACTCAGGTTTTAAGCATTTCAATATTATACCAAACTTCTAACAACAATAATTTAAAATAATTCATAGCAATAGTTAATTGTTCCTTTTAGGAAACTCTAGATATATTTAATTAATGCCTATTTAGAACTTAAATATAATGCAATGCGACTCCATTCGTCAATTGCATTGACTTGTCAGAATCAATTGACTTGTCAGAATCAACTGACTTGTCAGGGGATGTTTATAAGAAAGTTTGAAATTTACATGAAGGATTTAGCCTGGATGCCTTGCAAAAGTGTATGATCATGGAACATTTTGATGCAGATTGGGTAAGACGTGAAAGTAACAAGTATCTGCTTTTTCAGGTCTTCAGTACTGCAAAAAATGCTTACCTCTCTGAGATGAGGTGGGTGTGTATTTCATTGAAAGGAGAGCACTAATTTAGTAATATTATTTTTAAATTTCATCATAGTTTTTCAAAGCATCTGTCAATTAATGTAAGTGAATTAATGTAAGTGAATCTTACATAATAGGAGGACAAAAACTACAAAGGAAAATAATTGTTTGGGGCAGGGTACGGTGGCTTATGCCTGTAATCCCAGCACTTTGGGAGGCCGAGGCAGGCAGATCACGAGGTCAGGAGATCGAGACAAGCCTGGCTAACACGTTGAAACCCCGTCTCTACTAAAAATACAAAAAATTAGCCGGGCATGCTGGAACATGCCTGTAGTCCCAGCTACTCAGGAGGCTGAGGCAGGAGAATCTTTTGAACCTGAGAGGCGGAGGTTGCAGTGAGTCATGATCATGCCCCTACACTCCAGCCTGGGTGAAAGAGCGAGACACTGTCCGCCTCCTCCCTCCTCTATGGAAAACAAAGAAAGTAATTGTTTTGAGTTTCTTAAACCATATTTTAACTGGCGGATTATCCAAATGTCTAGTTTCTTTTTAATCACAGAAAATTACATTGAGCATGTCGATGTGGCCATTACAAAGTATTTAGTGTTCATATTCCCATATTCCCTCCACCCCATTATACGGTATTCTGTTTCCTAAACCAGTGGGGGCAGGGCGGGAGCAGGGCCTGGGGGGAAGAAGATTTAAGTGAAAGCAGGTGAAATGTTTCCAGTCTTGATCAACTTTCATTTTCTACGCAATGTTATTCTTTCGCAAGCCTACAATTTATGAGTTGATTTCCACACTCCATTTATATTATTGGCTGCTGCTGGAATTTCTTTCAGGAAGATTTGATAAGATAGAATAGAATTTCTTTTTTACCTTTAGTCTCCTAGAATATGCTGCTTATAATGAAAATAATACTTGATATTTTAGAACCTCTCCCTACTTCCCTTACCTGAATTAAGTGCCTTAAAAATAGTATTTGCCTTTGGTGGTTTTCCTTTTCCCTCAATAATCCTATAAAAAAATATGTTTAGCAAGATTTTTTTTATTCTTTTCTGTATATTATTTATTTTAGCTTGCATACATGCTATTTTCATATAGATTCTGA